CACACACACACACACACACACACACACACACAAATAAAGAAATGGTTTGACAACTATGAAATCTCCAGTAATTTTTGAAACAGCAATTTCAAAATGATTTAGAAGATATGGTAAGACTGTGAAGGATTTAGTAAAAAGATCATATTGACTAGAGTGGATTAGTGTTAGGCTATTTATACCGTGTGTATTTCAAACATGTTGAGGTCTCAGGAATGAAATAATCTATGTTGATAACAAACATGCTGCAATATAAATATCTTGGTCTAATTTAAATTTCATTAACAGTTCTTTGTGGCAGTTACGCAGTGTTCAGCCCTTGCCTGGTATGCATTCATACTTCACCTTCTGACTGAGGTGTGCACATTTTCAAGTAAAATAACATTTAATGCTAAGAAAAACCCCACAATCTCCCACTTAGATAAATGTTTGAATATGAGTCCTTTTACAGAGGCATTTGTAACATTTGATAGTAGCTTAAGGTTTACAAAGTGTAATTTTTCACTGAGCTTTACAGAAGATTCCAGGGCAAGGAAGGACCAGAGGTAATGAAGACAGAGTGTGGAGAGGGTAGAAGAATGGCAGAGCCTTGTCCGGGTCAAAGATGTTCTTGACCCCCAGCCTACAGGTGTAAGTATAGAAAAGCTTACTCTAGGTATTTTTAGACAGAAAAATTTAAACAGTAATTAGGTGCTTATAAATAAGTGGAAGAACAGATTTTAGACTCTGCCTCTAAATGTGACTCCTGGAACCAACAACACAGTGGAGCTGACTGTGGGAGTCACTTGCCATGGAGTCACTGCAGCCATCAGGACAGACTGGAAGTTGTTGGCACCACCGTTGCACCACTGCCCCTACATTGCCTTGTGGCAGTCAGAACACTTGTGACTTGGTGCTGGAATCTAGCCTTTGCTTCCTAAGACGGAACTCTAGAGCCCTGATACTGAAAGAGTTTCTCTCCATGAGCTTGCTGGCAAGGAAAGGCCTCTTCAAAGGATGTGTATGGCTTCTGCTTCATTTTCATACCTCAACTCCTTCAAGAATAAATCTAAGAGGTGGAATATAATTCATATACAGACACCAAGCTGTGAGAAAGTCTAAGACATGTAGTGTTTTGCTTTTCTGAAAGAGGACAGAACAGAAATTGAGCAAGCCAGTCCACAGAAATTTTCTTACCAAGCTTTTTGTATTTTAATTCAAGATAACTGGCAGAAAATAATAAGCAGAGAAGATCTATGTGCTCTACTGGAAAATGCTTTGTTTCTGGGGTCATGGGCAGAACTGAGACTTAGATAGAGGTCTGACACCAATGATCAGAATGCCATATTGCCTTTAAATTGCTCCATTAATTCTGTTTGGTTGAGCAGCTTAGAATCTACCTAATCTTTTTTTTTTTAATGTCCCACTTAATTACTATGTTCAAATATTGTGCTAAAATCAAGGCATTCTAAATCAAGATGGCAGGGTCATCTGATTTATTAGTTCCAATGAAAAAAGAGATACAATTTGCTATTCTTGGGGGGAACCCACAACGGTCCAGTGATCTCCATACTAATCTAACTTTTCCCCATTCTTAACACCTTCCAGTGCCTATGTTGACTAACCTTAGGATTTCTGTTGAATGACAGAAGGCATGTAAGTGTGATTTAAACCCTAAAGACATGCTTTTCTTAGGGGATGGGGGGATAGCTTGGTGGCATAAGCATCTCCCTGGCAAGAGAAAGGTTCTGAGTTCAATCCCTGGTACAGAAGAAAATAAATAAATACATAAATAAATGCTTTTCTCTCATGTAAAACATTCATTCAGAGATGAGAGTCAGAGTGCAGCTCCCTGCATCAATTCCAGGGCCTTAGCCTCTATCTAATAACTTCATCATATTCAGCATGGGACCTCTCAAAGTCTAAAGGAACTACGTAAGTTCTAACCACCATATTCACATTTCAGTGGTGGGAGAGGATAGCAAGACTTAGAGAAGTAGCACACCAATCTCTCGATTACATCATTTTGGCTGAATACACAGAAGAGACCTCACTGAATTACAAGGGAAGCTGTTAGATGCAGCCTGCTACTCTAATGACTATGTTACCAGCTAAAACTTAAGTATTTTAGCAGTAATGAAGAAGGGGAAAATGCATACTATGGTAAAGAGCAAATCTCATGACCCTGTGACCGAGGCGCTGTCTATAGTCCTCTTCATGTGTCTTCCTCATTTTATTGCAAAATTTCAAGATGGTATGTGCCTTCTCTAATATCTAGTATAAAGATTACCATCTTAGGGATTTTATTATTTATTCAACAAAAATCTAGTTTCTATTTTCTGGTAATTTTTTTTTTTTTTTTTTTTGGAACCGGGGATTGAACTCAGGCCCTTGCACTTAAGCGCTTATTCCACTGAGCCATCTCCCCAGGCCCTCTGGTAAAATTTTGAAAAGTGGTTTAAATAACTATACCTCCAAAAATTGTGCTTGAAAACATGTATGTAAAATAACATTTTGTATTTAATTTTTTGAATTTTAATTTTTTTAGATTGCACATTGTAAATAATTATTTACAAACTTAAATGAATATAACAATAAAAATTGTCCAAAATAAAAATGAAGAATTTACAGATCAGTCATATAATAGTCCACTCTATGCCAAAATCAAGAAACTTAGATTCATATAATTACAATTCTCAAAGTAGAAAGGGATAGGCAATAAATATTTAAAGATTTAAAATTTTTGGATTTAGTTGAAATTATAGCACCACATTTCCAACAAAAATGAACCTTCTGCACAAGAAATTTGAATAAAATCATACCAAGATACACAAAAATGAAATTGTCCAAAACTTATTGTAAAGAAAAAAAGTCGGGCGGTGCCCTGGGTTTCCCGCTGCTGGGAATGCCCCAGTCGGTGGTCGCCGCGGGCGGGCGGGCCTGGCCTTCTGCAGGACGTCGGCTCTCCTCTGCTGTGGTCGCCGTCGGCCGGCCGGCCGAGGTGGACCCAGATCGCGGCCGCTTCCGGGACCTGGCGCGGAGCGAGCTCGCCGCGGCCACCAGGTGCCGGCCGCCGCCCGGAGCCCCAGCCTGTGCCGAGCTCTCCCAAGAAGCAAGCAGGAAACGTTTCGTGTGAATTCTTTTCTGTCCGATATGGGTCATGAGAATACTCTGGAAAGGAGTTTATGGCGAGGCAATCAGCAGCTTCCTTAGGAAGTGGACACCAGGACAGCTGGTGACGGCAGCACTGTTTCCAAACGGGCTGTCTCGATTGACATGGAAGAAGGGGGAGTGAATGAAGTTCTCCAGGGACCCCTGGAGAGATGTGTTTGACAGAAAGCAGCTCATCACTGATATTTCTGGCTCAGGAAAGAATTGGGCTGGAGGTCGCAAAGTTTTTGGCAATCTTTAGGGAGAACAAATTTTAGAGAAACAGAAAATCTGCAGAGCACTGTGATTGCTTGCAGTTTCTTCATAATCCACTCCATGGAAGAAGGAACAGGATGTGGACTTGGTATATTTCTTTTAAAGGTGCTTGAAGATGAATTTCCAGAAGTATTCAGATTTGTGGCTTCAGTTTACCCTTCCAGGGAGGATGATGTCATCACTTCACCTTACAATAGCGTTTTGGCAAGGAAGGGACTTAATGAGCGCGCAGACTGTGTTGCCCATCGCCAATCAAGTAAGAAATGCCTCTGAAGCTTGGGGACAAATGCCGTACACATTTGCTTTTCTCATCAAAGAGGAAAAATAACTTTAAATTATTTTTATTTCTCTGTCTTAATAGACTAATGTCTATGTCCACTTTTTAAATAGTTTTTCTCCTAATATTTTTCTTCCAAAAGTCGTTGTTTGATATCATTAGCAAAATAGACCTCGTGGTGAGTTCTGGAAAGTTGGGTCCAACTGTGAAGCCAAACAGACTGGTTACTTAGAGCGTTAGGGCTCTTAAGAAACCGCATAAGAAGCCCTTTGGTGCGATGAACAACACTGTGGCAAAGCTGCTGCTCCACCTAACGAGGTAAGCCAGTTTAAGAACAGTTGAAAAACTCCTATGCTTTTGACAGTGTTTGAAATTTCTGAAGTCACATTTTTATTTTTTATTTTTTTATTTTTAGTGAAGGGTCTACAGGGTGTGCAGGGTCTCACACTAGATCAGACTCGTAGTGATCCGCCTGTTTACAGCCTCCCAAGAGCTGGGATTACAGGCATGCACCACCACACTCAGTCTCCATGGCCGGTCTCAGTGCATCCTGGGGATGGGGCTGGCACAGCAGGCCCAGAGATTGGACCCCTGACCCCTGTGTCTGCTTGCAGGCACTTTAATCCTCTGAGCTATTTGGCCAGCCCGAGTTATTTTTCCAACTTGTAAGGGCTTTTTAAAATTTTATCCTAGTATTGCATTTTGCTGTCTTCAGTGCAGTGGCTTAGTTCACAGCATATATGGTATCCAGTACAGTGTCTGCCATATTTGAGTGATTAACCAGAAGATATTTGGGAAAGGGGTTAATTGTTTAAGACTGAGATACACCAGGAATCAGAAGCCATAGAGCAAATGTACTTCAGGATTTCTGGGGTCATTCTACCACTGAGTGAGTGGCAGATGGCCACGAGAGACCATGGGTGTGTATGGAGTTGTTACAGACTACCTGAGAAGTTTCAGCTCATGCTGGGAAGGATACTAGGGGGTCACGACCTCCAGAGAAAGAAACAATGCTAGACATGTGTGGATTTTGAGGGGGCTAGTGTTCAGTGGACTGTTTGTCCTCACCCCACTGCCTACATCCAGCACAGAATTCAGTGTTCTGTTTATTTCCCCATCTTCCACCTTGAGCAGTGAATACACCTTAGCTTGATGATTGCCACAACCTGAGTATATGGACAGAGAAGCCTCTGAAATAGGGCTACTTCACAGTTCCACAGACTACAAAGTTAGACACAAAAAGGAGTAATTTGAGGCACAAAGTGACTCAGAAACTAGAATTGGCTGGGGTAACTAGAGCCCTAGACACCCTTGAATGATCACTTCTACCAGTAAAGGTGGACCAGAACTCAAAAAAGTGAGTGCAGAGACAAAGTAGAACTTAGTAGAGACTCAGTATCCATCCCATGCATCTGGTGGATGCCAATAAATATTCCAGAATGTGGAAAGAAACGACTCACTCAAGCACATGGAAAAATTTTTGGACACATTTCTCTCACTCTTGCTCTCACTCTCACTCTGAGAGGGGAGGGTTGAAGGTGTTTTCTTTTTCCTTTCTTTTGCTCTTTTTTTTCTTGTTTTCTATTACTCTTATTTAATTCTATTACTTTTCTTTTGCTTCTCTTTTTCAGTTAATATTATGTATTTTTATTAGTACATGTTTACATTAAATAATGATTACATTCTTTTTGGAGAGTTGGTACATGTACATAACACATCTCAACTCCCTTTCCTCTCTCTCTCCCCTCCCTCCTCTTCCTTACATCTATTGATCTCCTTCACATTTAAATAAGATTTAAGTGATTTATCTTCATCCTAGAATCTAATTTTTACTTTGCTTTTTAATTATATTTTGGCTATCTCACAGAAGAGAAATGACTCATTATTTAAACCTGTATATCTGATTTATTTCACTTAACATTCTGGTCTCTGGGTTCACCCATTTTTATACAAATGACTCAAGTTTATCTTTTATGGTACAGTAGTAGCCTATTGTGTATACCACATTTTCCTTATCAATTTGTCTGAAGGACATTTAAGCTGCATTTATAATTTAAATATAATGAGTTGTGCTGCTATGTAAAAATGGGTATGCATGTATCATTGTACTATGATATCTTGAACCCTTTGGGAAAATACATGCAAGGAGAATAGCTGGGTCACCTAGAATTTCTCATTTTAGTTTCATGATGAACCCTTATATGAATAGGATTCCATACTGGTTGTGCCAGTTTACATTCCCACCAACAATATAGAAAGTATCTCTTATTTGTTATTATGTGACTGTATTTGTTATTAGGTGTCTTCTTCATGATAGCTATGCTTTCTAGAGTAAGATAGTATATCAGTATAGTTTTGGGTTTCTCTAATGATCAGAAATGTTGAACATTTTTTCAAGTATTTATTGGTCACTTTCCTTTTTAATTGATATGATTTCATTTGCTGATTCTTGGTACTATTACTTTTGCCATTGGAGTTCTGTTCAGAAAGTCCTTGCCTATGCCTGTGTCTTCAAGAGTTTTATTTACCTATCTTCAATCAGATTGTTTCTGTTTTAACATTTAGATCTTTGATCTATTCAATTTTTGTTGAGTATGTTGTGAGAAACATATGTAGGTCTAGACTGAATCTTCTGCATGTGCATAGCCAATTTCCCCAGCACCATTATTAAATAGGGTATCTTTCCCGCACTGTATGTTTTTGGCCACTTTGTGAAGGATCAAAGAGCTGAATACGTGTGGCATTATTCCTGCTTCTTCTGCTCTGTTCCATTGATCTATTTCTGTTCTATGTGCCAGTGCTATGCTGTTTTTATCTGTGTAGCTTTGTAATATGACTTAAAATCCAGAATTGTGATGCTGCTTTGCCCTGGTTATTCAGGATATCATTTTTTATTTTGAGTCTCTTCTAGTTCTATTGAATTTTTGTTGTACTGAATTTTAGAATTATTTTTGCTGGTTCTCTGAGGAATGTTTTTGATAATTTGATTGGGATAATGTTAAATCTATATATCAGTTGTGGAAGTATGACCATGTAACCATATTGGTTCTGCCTGCCTGGGAATCTAGGATATCTTTCCATTTTCTGATGATCTCTTTTTAGAAATGTCTGTGGTTTTTGTTACAGAGGCCTTTCACTTTATTAGATTAAATATTGTGTACTTAATTTTTCTTTTTTCTTTTTTTTCCTTGATTTTTTTTTATTGGTACATTTCATATATACATAGTGATAGCATTCATCATAGGGGAATTGTACCTTGCTTCAAACAATAGTTTCAAGCATTTTTTAAATTTTTATTTT